CTTCTCACAGAGTAGTACTCATTTTGGAACCTCGAAAGGAAAAAGGGTGAATCATCTGATTTGACCTCGAATCCGGGATCTTCAGGTTGTGAATGCGACGGTGTGTTGACCGAACAGCCCCGTCTATTATGCACTGACTTCGGTCGACGTGTTGTATTTTAACTGCGTTGAAGAATCAGATTTGTTTTCTAAAAGAAATTTACCAATTCTATTTACTGATTTGTTTGTTTGAAACTAATCACCAGTTGCCATGGCAGAATACCGTATGACAGCTTTAACAGTCACGTGACCAGATAATTAGCATATTTGCCGCTGTTGAAATATAACTCTAGCTCATGGTTGTTCCGATATATGGGCGACTAACAAGCATGATTCATCTCTTAGCATGTACGTGATTAACCGACCTGTAATCTTTACATTCCCATTCCACAATTATAGAAATTTTAGCTACTGCGCACTGTTTTTGTTCCAACATCGAAAATCAATGAGAATGAAAGCCAGGTGTAATGTCAACCGATCACGTGACAAAAGGCGTCGAAATCACAGTCCCACTTTAAACTCTACCGTACAACTTATCGCATTAACAAGATTATGACGCAGTTGGTGTTTTATCTTGGAAGTGACAGACGGTGTATCCCTGTTCGATTGTCTAAGATGTCACAGCAGTTGAGGAATGCGAGGGGAGTGCTATTGAGTAGTAAGTGCAGTGCTTTCCCTATGCCTTATGTAGTATTGATGTTGTTGTAAGCACAGGTCGTTTTCCATGCGGCTTTTGCAACAGAGCCTACAAGCGTGATGTTTTTGCGGGCTACCATCGGGTGAAGAAACACTACGTGGCGCATAGATGCGCCTATTGCTTGGATATTTTCAACGGTAAGTTGAAAGGCCGAATTTCTGTACGTTTCTGCACATGAACGGCGTGGTTTTCGGCAGGGAGATTAGTGTAGCTGGATCTTTGATTTTCTAGCTAATTCGTTGATCAATGGTTGAGGACATTGCTCAAAACGGATGGTAGAATTCTTACCGTAACACGATCAGGACAAAGCTGATGGCGCCAACAAAATACTTCCGCATGTAAACAAAACCAAATTATGCAGACACCAATGGCACATCAGCATATGGTGTACACCAACCCAAATCATAAACCCAAACTTAGCCCAACTCATCTCTTATACCGATTTTTCTGATTCCTCTGTGCTAAATGAATTGCACAGAATTTTCTGTCCATCTAGCTGATATGACTCTACACTCAGACTAGCCCTGATGATGTTAAGGTCTAAGTAGCGAACCCGTCGGCAACAGACTGTTATGCCATCTGCAGAGTTTTGTACCCTTAATTATAAATCGCTAAAATACCTATCTATATATCTGTGGACCCGGAATCAAAAGCCTTAATATTATTTAGACTAATGACGATGCTAACCTTGCGATGACACTCGTTTAACTTGACGTGATAGACGATAATTATTCATTGCATAGTCGCACATTTGCTTTATAATATGCAAGAACCCTTTATCATGCCTTTATTAGAATAAGTAATCTTGTATGGTCTCTATCGATTACAGGCACACCCGCCTGACTGAAGAAGTTTCTGTATAAAATAGCGCAATTGCGCAATAAATTGCGCAATCATAATTTTGTTGCCTGAATATGAAACAGACATCAGATGTGTTCTTGATCAAGGTGCTTAACTTCTTCTGGCTCTTCCCGCTGAATATCAATACATGAAATACAATATTATCATCGCATTCGATTCAGTAAACCATTTTAAACACCTCGGATTGTACTTCTCAAGAAGAACTCTCCTCGGGTCGTTCCATTCTTGTCGTTGACTTAAACCTCAAGTTGTTAAGGTATCTTTTGATAGACTCAAATATCTGCCAGGGATATGAACCGCAGAACTATTATCCATCTCCAATGAGGTACTTTCCTTGAGTTAAGTTTGGTTCAAAAATTTACGGCTCGTTGTCTTTCTCGAATACCTGGTCTTTAGGAATTCTTAGTGCAGGTGCTACATTTTGCATGTTGAAAAAATTACGTGTTATTCATAATTTTCCTGAAACGGAAGAGATCTGAAAACACATGGCGTAAGGTGAAGATACCGGTTGGAATGGGGGGGGGTTTCTATGAACAGAAACCTCGAACTCTGTGTTGGGGTCCTCTTCATCAGCATGTCTATGAACGGTATTATCTGGTCTGCTTCGGCTTCCATAATAAACCGTATTTCGCCGTTATTATTTTGTCCCTTCATAGAAGCGTGAGTCATGCTGCCTCAAACCCAAGAATTCAATCACCTTTGTTCTCTACTGTAAAATAATGCGGAAATCGACAATGAAACAAGAAATCGGTTGAATAAAGCTTGGCTCAAATTACGCAATACTGCGTGACATAAAGATGCCCACTGAAATGAAAGGGTAGGGTGCAAATCGATTGAAAGACTCAAGGTTTGGCTACCTTGAGGAAACACGAGAAACAGCGGAACTCGGTAGAAAAGCGAATGCTCAGATGGATTTATGATGTCAGCAGGAAGGACCACATTCGGAACAGCAAAATAAGAAGCACTCTAGTGGTAGCACCAATTTCAGAAAAGCATATCGAAAGCAAGCTTTATTGGTTTGGTCGTGCAAAAAGAAAACCCATCGAGGACGTTGCAAATGTGCTCCAAGCACTGATACTACCCGGGAAGAAAAGGAAGAGAAACCCCAAGAAAAGCTAGTGAGATGTCATCAAGAACGATATGAAATTGCGTCTCAGAAGATCTAATCAACGACAAAAAAATGTGGAGGAGTTTGACTCAAGTAGCGGACCCATGCTAATGGGAACATGCCAGAAAACGAAAGAAGATCATGTTCTTTCACAAGAATTGCCACACCTCCACATTTCAATACGCTTGAGCATGTTACCAATGAAGATATCATCGATGAATCAGCATAGGACAGTTGCTACAATTTTGCTGAGCACTCATTGAGGGTTTTTAACTCCAGGTGATTCAAATAAAAGGCAACCAATTCTAAGTCTTCCGGCTTCCGGTGGGATCACGGGAACACAATGCGTCTAGTGGTATCAGACGTTGTTCTCGAATTTATTATTGATGTTTCCTGCCACTAGACTAAGGAATGAAATGAACTCTATATTCTCTAAACACGCTGTCGAAGAATGTCTTCCGCATGTCTGATGTGCTATTCTGGATTTTGGTCAGCAGCAATTAGGCGTGTGGTTAAAATTGCATTTCGCCTCAACAAGCAGTTCTAACGGTTTATATAACGGGACTTGTTTTAAATAGCTATATCGAGTTGCGCATGAAATCCATTTGAAATTTATGTTCTGAAGCATCACCTGCCGTTGAAATAAATCACGACGATTCTAACGCAGAAAAAGGGTAACAGAAAGTTCATATGCCTTCAGCGGCTTTATAATAAAGGAATATTATTTTCCCTAAAAACATTCAAGACGATAAGTAACTAATCATACATGATATCATGAATGTCCCTAAGCTCAAACACGGACCAGTGTATTGTCATCGTCCTACTTATCATACGCTTATGATTTTCGACGCTGAGCAATAACTGTTCTTGTGATTGATGATTATAATTTTGTTCGTACTGAGCAGCGTTGTATTTCAGGTATCGAGGAGTTCACGTTGCATTTGCGAGAGCAGCATGCGATCCCGTATCCGAGTTTGTGCGAGATATGCGGAGTGATGTTTCCCACGAAAGAGAAGTTATACCGACACCAGCATATCGGAGCAGTTGTTAAATTGATCGAATCACATAAAGCTCAAATGGCGGCAGGTGTACAACCGGCGACAGAAGTGCCGGTTGTGAAAAAAGGAAACAGTGACGAAGAACATAATAAAATATTGCAAATGGAAAACAAATCACCCACAAAAGGGTCTAAAATAAAGCTAGAGCCGGTAGATGACTTTCCATATAAATTCGATTATGGGGAAATTACCGAAGCTTCTTCAGGAAAACGATTGTTCTTCATTCATTCATCAAACTTCACCTACAAATCGATCTTGAACAATGCTAATATGAGTCCTTAAGTTTTTTTATATATATGTTTATTTCGTTCAGCTAGTATGCTCCTACGGAAACCTCTTCAGCCTTTCTTTTAGTTGTGGCGAAAATATTTTTAGAGAATGAATATTAATGCCTGAAGTATTTATTGTTCCGTCTATTTATTGCTTTTGACATTGCCGAAATGTGTTTCCTTTGTGCTATTCAAACGTTATGTGAAATTCCTTTATTGTTTCAATAAACATCTTTTTGTCAAATCGATTTTTGTCGTATTTAAAAATCTGATGTTGATTGCATGCAAATTCAACAAATGGTAGGAAGCGGGCATAAGGATATGAGATAAATTTGGTATTTTAGGTGCTTCAATGCCTCTCCTAGGCAACTAGAAGAAAGGGGGCGGTGCAGTGTGACGACGTACAGTCTGGTCTTGCAGGAGTCATGTTTAATTGGTAATAAGCTGTCATTTCCAGGGCATTGTTTCGACTTAAACTTGGGTCTACAAGGAATAAACAAATCGACAGGCTTACGGTGAAAACTTCGATTGCTGAAACCAAGTGCCCTGTTTCACGAAGATATAGTTGCATCGTTTGGGCAGTTTTACAAAAATCACTTGCTTTACTTCGGGTCATTGCTTCTTAAAAACTGTCCTCCGTTCTTGTCACAGAGAGTTACAGTGAACAGAGTTATGAGATTCTTGGTAAAGTACGGTAATATGGAGCTGGTTCCCATGTAGCCACTAGAGTATCTGAAAAGACCTTACCTGACCTCCCCCAAAACGATCGAAAAACGAGGTCCTAGTGGATTATCATGAAATCCTGACAGGTAGTCATAATAGCTCAGTGGTTGGGAAGAAGCTGCTACTGCTCTTCAGGTCGACAAACAAGGTCTCCCCCCATGCAGGAAAACGGTAGTCTTTACTTCACAACCAGGTACTCGCTCATATTAAACTAACCGAATTTATCTACGCGCTCTATGTCTACTTTTTTGTAGCAGGCTTCTGGCCTTCGGCTGGTCAATGCGCTGACCTAAGGACAATTTTCTGATTGGCGAAACTGTCTTCATCAGCGATTACGTTCATATGTTGGTGACAATTTCTTAGCATTTGAGGCGAAATGATCTGACAGACATAGACTGTTGCTCCCGCTTGTGCAACCATGTTATTACTAGCCATGTTTCCAACTTTCACCGGATATTTTGGCAATAAGCTGACTTTAGCTATGAGTCATATCGTCTGTGTTTCTATAAAGTAGATTTGTTGTCGATGATTTCATCTATGCCATTGTAGAGGACTTTGTTTTCTAGGTCATTAGAGGAAGGAGCTTCTACCACCGCTGATACAACTTCTTCAACTAATACAATGGATGACTGGAAGCGGATTGGTTCTAATTCTAGCCGAGATCAAAGGTTTTCAGCCACTGACCATCATTTATTACCATAGGTAGGATGAAAATGAAGATTGACTTGGTACAGACAGCTTAGTCTTCAGACTCAGCTCTACTTTAATCGTAGTAGTTCAGACTAGTTCATTCAGAAAACCGCTGGCCATTCTAATTTGCTGGTCGATTATTTCTTAAAATTTTAAACGAAATAATTTTCTATGACTTCACCACCTGCTCTACTATTTCTTCCTTTACCTGCAGAGAGCGCGGGCAACGAAACGGAACAGCACAAGGAGTTTTGTCAGAGACGATCCTATGCATGCTAGCCTCGTTGCCTCAGTCTGCAAACCTATAAAAATTACGTTGCTGATTAGTTTCGGAAGGCGGTCACAGAACAACGTCGTCTTCCAACAGCAAATTTATCGTCTTCACGTCTACGCTGAAATACTCTTGGCCGTAGCTCCGCCTGATCATGCTATCCATGTACAGTACAAACAGGAGAGGGGACAGAACAGAACCTTGGCGAAGGCCAGTGCTGACATTAAAAGGTAACGCTATTTACTTTGACGCAGCATGTGCCATCAACATATGGTGATTGAATGACTCGTAACAACAGGCCATCGATTCCATAAGTTCGCAGGTACATTAACAGCTTGTTGTAGAGGATTCGGTCATCAGCTTTCTCCAAGTCAACAAAATACATGTAAACCGGATGAGCTAACTTCGATTTCTCAGCAAGCTGGCGTATTTTATGCTTATGCAGATTCTGCGACGACTTAGACTGCTGAAAGATTAATATCATGTGCCTCTCGGTCCTCAGACGAGTCGTCCTGCAGCTACTCGGGATTCAGGAGTACAGTCGCCATCGCCGAAATAAATTTTTGTGGTAAGAAGCCTCCAAATGTGTCTTTCATGACTTATACTGGTAACTTTTTGCCAAAATACCTTATTTTCCTTCTGGAATTTCGAATGAAGGACTTCAAAGAACTCTTCCAGAAATCGGTTTTTCCTTGTCCATTGCATTCGTTGCCACCATGAGTGTGTTCTCATGCCGCATTTGAGTTAGAGGCTCTTCGTTTAAAGGCGATGTCGTGAATGCAGTCTTCTTCTCGTTGACAGCCATTTGAACTGTAAAGTCCACCATGAAGTCCGCTGCTGATCCTCACATGACAGGCTAACCCTGTTCAAGCCGCAGCATTCAGCGGCAAACGTGAATCAGCCGTTCTTAAAGAGCTACTACTCGGGTTCTGTGTCAAAAATCATCACTTGCATCTGCTCAAACCGGGTGTGATTTTATTTGCAAGTTTCGCCTCGTTTGCTATAAAGATGATGTTTCCCACTTGATCTCTGGTTGCTTCTGTAGCGAGATATAGAATAGCATTCCATCGTTTACAGCGAGGATTCCAACAGTAAGTGATCATCGGTTGAAGTGTCAGCGCCTCTGGTAAAGCGAACATCTACTAGAGAGCCTCGTAGGTCACCCAACGCGATTGTTAGATCGATCATCAATTTTTATGCAGAAGCTTTCGATACCAGGTTTATCGATGCACGTTTCGATTCTGTTCGAAAATGTTCGTGATAGACAGTCCATGGTTTACAAAAAGCGTGACTGATTCTTGTTGTCGTTGCTGAGGTAACTGGGCCGTTCTAGCGAATCCCGCTTTCCGCCTTCTGTCTGTTCTGACAAACATATTCATATTGCTCATCCGAGTGATGGATTGCATCCTCTGCGCTTCATGTAGAGTACATTTAACTTCCTCCAGAAAAGACTCACATTCTATCTCTGAATTGATTCTGTCGATCTAAACAAGATCAAGGATTTATTTTGGTCTAATTTCAGTATCACGATTACCATTGCTTTTATGTAAGCCAGGCTGAGTTCTATCGGAACACCAGCATGGGCCTGAGCGCGTTACACTCGAGCAGAATTGCTTCCACACGCAGTCATTGAGAATTTGAAAGCGCTTTCGCTTTGTCGACGAGAGTGGAACTATGTCGAGTTTGTACCATGCGGTTCATCAACTGGGTCTTGTTTTTTCTCTAGGTAAGATGTCCCAACATATGACTGTAGGCTCCGACTATATTGTTCCGGTGGAACCATGGCTTACTTGCCAAAATCAAATCGCGCTGTTTGCGTCTAAAGAACCGGTTGCAGCTTCGTTGCTGACTGGATTTTCATCTTCCGCTTGCCGATTTTTGGTAGCAACCGTCTGATTGCTATGCCTTCAGCAGCCAGAAGACGTATAGCAAGGTTTGTGAACTGCTTTTGGCAGTCTGCCTCATTTTTCCAAGAAACTGAGCTACCCCCTGGTAATCTGAGCAACCACCTTCTCGGTATGATGTTCAATAAGGACAGAACCACAAGGGGCAGGTGACCAAGTTTGACAGTTTTTTTATCCGGGCTTAGA